GCCACGGTGCAGTAGGCCGATCTGCTGGGTTCCAGTAGCGTGGAGCTCCTGCTGGGCCTGCAGCATCAGCACGCGCCGCTGCACCACGCGCTGCTGCTGCTCTTGACCCATCTCGTCTCCAACCCATTCGGTCCTCCGCTCCTCGGCCTGAGGAATGGTGCGGTTAGAGTAGCCCTGCGGCCTGGCCGAGGCGGGCCAAGGTGCGCGCCCACGAGCGCGCGCGCCTCGCTCGCCTATGCCAGGAGGCCTCTGCCTCGTCACACGTGGCCGCAGAAGACGAGAAGCGCCGACGCGCGGCAACAGTGCACGCCTGGGGTCAGACCTGCGAGGGCAATGTTCAGAATCGGGTGTGCCCTGCGCGCGCGGGCTCAGGCCAAACCCTTGCTCCCCCAATCCTCCTCTTCCTCCTCCTCCTCCTCCTCCTCCTCCTCCTCCTCCTCCTCCTCCTCCTCCTCCTCCTCCTCCTCCTCCTCCCCCTCGCACCCCTCTCTATGGCGATGCCCCCAGTCATCCCCTTCTTTGTGATCATAAAGTTGAACGTTGTCGAGTGCATGAACTAAACTTGCCCCCTGCCACATGAGGGATGCATCGCGCGCCGCTCGCCCATCTCAGGCCTCGGGCGCCACCCCCTCCCCTGGCTCGGCCTTGGCAGCGCCGGCCTTCAAATGCCATTCGCAGTACACCACAGGGGGGTTATCCAAGCATATCTTCTTGGAACCCTATGATTTCAGGCCGTACTGGAACACGAAAGACTTCTTAGCGATAGGGAGGTTCCGGAAAGCCCTGCACATGCGCAAAACATCTCTGAAAAGGCATCCGCTGATCTGCTGCCTCCACACCAACGACTGGCAATACATATCGAGCCAGTCGTCTTCGTTGTGGACCTCTTCGGGGATGGCAGCGTTTCCATGCTTCAGGTGCCTCCACAGGGTGAAACGCAGGGAGGACGGAGGTGGGAGGGGGAGGAAGGAAGGAGGGAACGCGGGGACCGTCTCTTCAAAACGAGGACCCAACACCACAGGATGGTTGGGAAAAAATATGGTGCGAGAGCCGAGGGGGGCAGTTCAATTGAAGAACAGAATGGTTCCGCCGAAGTGGGAGCTCAACACATCTGTACCCCTCCTTCCCATCCACTCTTCCCTCTTGTCCAACTCATCCTCCTCTACTCCCTCCTCCTCAACTTCCTCCAGCGTGACGTCGAACTGCGCCTCGAAGTCGTCGGACTTCTCCACCTCTCCTTGTGAGGCGGCGGGGGCGACAGAGGTAATGGTAAGGGAGGCGGGAGGGGGGCAGAGGCCCTCATACACCTCATGAGCCCCTTTCCTTCAAAAAGCCTTTCGAACGACCAGACGTGTCCGTAGGCCGGGCCAGACGTTTCGCTAGAGATTTCCTTTTATGCATCATCCTCAAACTAAGAGGCTCCAGTAACTGCAAGGATAGAGGGCCAGCCGTATTCAAAATGCGGCTCTCGCCTCAGCGCCGGGTACATTCATTTTGAAAGCTCCCACCAGCTACAGTAATGGAGGGCCAGTGGTTTTCAACATGCTGCTCTCGCCTCAGCACAGCGCACATTCGGCTTAGAAGCGTCCGACGATTGGAGGCCGATGTTTTTGGAAATGCGGCTCTCGCCTGAGCCCCCGCAGAGTTGTTGTAAACGGTAGGATGGGGTGCGGCTGTGTTCAAAGTTACATGGATGGAGACCGTGCGGGTTTGAAGTGCGACTGTCGCTTGAGACGTCCTCGAGTTGAATGACCCGAAGCTCCAAAGTGTGCAACAGTTATCCACATGGAAGGCTTCTTTTCCAAATGACCTCTCGCTTGAGATTTCCGCAAACTGTATGACCATAATGTTTGAATTGTGCAGCGCCTAAAAAGGCAGATGCGTTTGCAAAACGGAGTTACCGCTGGACACTTCCTTGAACTTTGTCACCCTGTCTCTTTGTTTCGCTCAGCTAGAAAGATGGACGCTGGATATTTTACAAAACGGAGTCTCGCCTGAGTGGAATGTCCACCCAGTGTTCCTCATTCAAGGGGGCGCTAACCGCAGTGGAAAGAAAATCAGCCAGCGCAAACCCCAAATATATTAGAAGTCTGAAGTGAAGTGGACTGGAGCTGACAGACATAGACTGGACTGGAGTAAACTGGACTGGACGGGACGGGACTGAGTGCACTCTGCTCCACTATACTCCTACTCTATTGTACCTGACTCTACTCTACTCTACTATCTACCCTACCCTAATATACTCTGCTTTACTCAACCCTACTCCACTTTACCCTGCCCTACCCTACCCACACCCTAACCTACTCTACCCTACTCTACTCCTAGTCTACTCTACGCCCACTCTACTCTACTCTACTCTGCCCTGCTCTGCTCTAATTCACCCTACTCTACTCTACTCGAGTATACCCCATTCTACTCTAGCGTCCTACCCTACTCTACTCAACTCTATTATACTCTGCCCTACTCTGTTCTACCCTACCCGACCATAACCTGGTATTCGCCTCTCTTCTCCACCAGAACCCTACTCTATTCTTGTCATATACCTACTCTACTAGACCCTCCTCTACTCTACTCTGCTCTACTCTGCTCTACTCTGCGCACCACTCTACTCTACTCTGGAATGGTGTGCTCTACTCGACTCATACATAGTATGCTAAACTCTCATCTATTACGCTCTACTGTACGATCCATCTACACTACTCTGTACTCTGTTCTGCTCTACTATACTCGATTACGGGAGATTCTACTCATCGGCTAGTAAATACTAGACTCCACTCTAGTATGATATAGCATACACTACTCTGCCCTGCTCTACTCCACTCTACGCTAGCATAATGCACTTTACTCATACATTCGTATCTACTCGAATGCACTGCTCAAAGTATCTAGTATGCTCTATGTCTACGCTAATAGACTCGGGCAGTGTATGAGTTACTATGCTTTACCCCACTCGATATATGCTCGATTCTACTCATATACTGCATCCTGCTCTAATATACTATACACTGCTCCACTCTGCTCTAGTTACCCTTCTCTGTTTCTGAGTATGACGACTGTTGGACGCTTGTTGGGACGCCATTGAAATAGCCACAGGAAGCCATTGCAAGAGCAGTGGAAGCCACTGCAAAAGCAGAGGAAGCCGCTGCACCCATTGCAACCAGTTTGGGCAAAATAGAGGGGGGATACCACTGGACCAGTTCTCTAGTTCTTGAGCTAGGAGTCATGTTGGCGAGCATATTCTGAAGAAAACTTGTAGGGACTTATGAGGGGGGGACTTGAGACGGGGGGGTGTATTGTAACATCGTTGTTGCATCATGGGTTCAATATGCTCTGCCCCCTCATCTACTTCCGCCCCATCCTCCGCCTCCCCCTCCTCAGCTTCCTCCTCCCTCATCCCTCGTCCCTCGTCCATCCTGCGCCTCTCCTCCCTCCTCCGTCTCCCTCACCCCTCGAAACTACCTCCTCCGTGGTCCGTCGCCCTCCTCTTCGCTCATCCTCGTCCTCGTCCTCCTCCTGCTCCACCTCATCCTCTATGGTCATTCACTTCTCCTCTCACGACAAATCGCCTAGGAATCGATTCTGGATGGGCTGAAGGGGGTGCTCGAAGCTTCACAAATGTCAAAAGCGTGCGACCGGCAGCAACAGCAGCAGCGGTGACACGGGAAGAGGGGGAGAAAGAGGAGGAGAAGCAGCATGACGATGCTCCAGCATCGCTCTACGACACCTGGCAGCCCTTCCACGGGGGCGACATGCGCCACCTCGTGAAGAAAGCCCCGCCTCGCCTCGGTCGCCCCTGAACGTCGCCTCTCCCCGGCTTCCGTCGCCTCGCCTCCATCCTGCGGTCGTCCGTCGTCGGCCGCGTCGGACACAGCAAGCCTATTTAGCCGCCCTAATGAGCCAGACCTCCGACAACTCGATTGGTACTATGTGCCCCCCTTGGATGCGCATGTCCGAACCGAACATGTAGCACAAACATTTGATCGCATACCGTTACCAAGGAGGTATGGCGAGATAGCGCCCACCAGGGAGCATATACCTATACGATCACCCTTCAGGTGATAAGGAGGTTGTGGGGGGGGGGGGGAAAGAACCAACTAATAGCAACTGCGATAACTGTAATGATGACACCCGCGGGACACCGACGGGACACCGAAGGGACACCACGGGACACCATCGGGACACCAATCGATCACACTTTCGACTTCACTATCGATCTTACAATTGATCTCATTATCGATTTCACGATCGGTCTTATATTACTATCGATTTCACTATCGATCTCACCACGGGGCACAAACAGGACACCAACGAGACACCGACGGGACACAGACGGGACACAGACGGGACACCGACGGGATTGATAGTGAGATCGATGGTAGATCGATCTCACTATCAATCACATCGATATCACTATCGATCTCACTAAAGTTACCGATCTCACCACGGGACACCGACGGGGCACCGACGAGACACCGACGGGACACCGACGGGACACCGACGGGACACCGATGGGACACCGACGGGACACTGACGGGACACCGACGGGCCGACGGGACACCGACGGGACACCGACGGGACACGGGACACCGACGGGACACCACGGCGGGACAAGCGCACCACCGCCAGACCATCGGAGGGCGGACCGGTCAACGGCTCTTGACCCACCCTAACCACAGCGGAGTCATTCCACTCGCCCGCCCACGCAGCTTCGCCTCGCCCGCACGCAAGACACGAACCCGAAACCGAAACCGAGTTCCAAGTGGGAAGCTCTCCGTTCCACTGCGATCTCACCCCTCAATCTCCGACTACAAGTTTTCTGAGCGCGCGCTTCGCCCCTGGGGCCCGACGCACATGTAGTATAAGTAAGTATGTCTGGATGGTGCCGACCGATATTTTGAGCTGCCAGCCCCTGGAGAGGAGAAGGCCAACTATACACCAACACCGGCCCTGGCCAGGCCAATCCTGGGCCCAGGGCCGGCCTGGCCAGGATCGGTGCTCGTGTAGAGTTGACGCTCCCCGCCTGGAGCTCCCGACACTTTCCCGGGACCATTTCTTATTGCTCCGTCGCGGTAAAATCGAAACACGAGCTCCCGCGGAATGCCGCTCTGGAGCCCTGGGAGGACAGACGAATTGCAGGGGCCATCCCTGCTGCCCGATCCGAGAGCCCAGGCTCACTTGATCAGCGGGTTGGCGAACAGCAGCACCAGCGCGATGACCAGCCCGTAGATGGTCAGGGACTCCATGAACGCCAGGGACAGCAGCAGAACGCCACGCAAGTCGTCCGCCACCTCGGGCTGGCGGCTGATGCCGTCAATGCAGCGGCCAGAGGCGATGCCCTGGCCGACGCCGCTGCCGATCGCCGCCAAGCCGATGGCGAAGCCCGCGCCCACCGCGCTGAGCGCCGGGATCCACACGCCCTCGCCCTCGGCAAAGGCGGCAGTTGGGGTGACCAGCGCTGCGGCTCCAAAAGCTGCGCCGGGCGCCTGCACCGCTGGCCTGGATGCGACGGGCGCCGGCACGAACGCAGACATCAGAGCGCCGCAGGCGAGCAGGACGGACGCCGTGAGCACCGTGGAGCGAGCCATGGCTTCCCTGTGCTATCCTTGCCGCGGTCGGGGGGCTTGAACAGTCAAAGGTTTGGCCAATCTTGGGCCAAACGGCTCCGGATCCCCCAGGCCACTGGTAACATCCCGAACCAGTTTTGGCAATCGCACACCCAGAAACAAACCCTGGCGGCCGAAACTGACAAAAAATCTCCGGCGCATTTGTTCGACTCGCCGAAGTTCCTCGGAGTTCCCCGAGGGTTGGGAACGCCTGGGAGTGCCCGCGTTCGCATGGGAGCGTCTGAACATGCGTAAAAGAGTTGGGGAACGCCGGGCGCCCAGAAGCACCCCGAGGCCCCAGAAGCCTCCAGATGCCCCCAAAAGGCCCAGACACCTCCAGAAACCTCGAACCTCGATCCTGGGCAGCGCGAGCGGCGCCAGGAGAGGATGAGGAGGAGGAAAAGGAGGAGGACGAGGAAGGAGGAGAGATGAAGAGAGAACGCAACAGTTCGAACGGCAGTTCGTCCAGGCCTACCGGGACGTCGCTACCGCTCAGGCCTACGCCACACCAGCGGGAAGTGCAGCAAAACGAACAAGAGTTGGAACAAACAGCCTTCCTCCTGGCGCGGACTGAAGGGCCCCCGACTGAAAATACAAACGGCTCTGTGGCGATCAGGGCGTGGCTAGCCCCGTCTGCACACCTGAGCAAAAGGCGCCGGTTTCCAGCGCGCTTTGGCCTGGGCGCATCGGCAACTCAGCGAACCGAGGCGCCACCTTGGGCATCCCTCGCAGCGGCCCACTGCAAAGGCCACGGAACAGTTGCCAGATGTTCTCGCAGCGCACCCGAGAGAGGAGCGGCTAGAAATGGCGTGCTAGCGGTGAGCTTCACGGCGCGCCTGGAGGCTCCCCTGGAGAGCGACCCCAACAGATGCATGGCAGCCGCGAGGTGCTGCGCGAGAGCGCGCCTGCGATCCGTTCGCCGCATTGGTGTTCCGCCGTCGCTTGGACCCTCTTGGGCGGTAGGTAGGGCTGTCGCCAGCCCCCGCACCCTAGTGGGAAGGCACAACGACCTGGTGGCTACGCATGCGTCGTGGCCGCGGAGGCGGGGTCCCGTTGGACTCCCACCCCTTGAGGCACCGCTCCCAAATGCCTCTGCTGATGCCGTCCTGGGCTCTCGCCGTCGGCATCGTGACCGTCGCCGTCGCGACCTCCTAATGAAGCAGCAGCAGTTCCGGCATCGTCCTTCAAGGCCGCACCAAACCCCAATTGATCCTCGTCTGCTCCTTCGAAGTCGGCGAATGCCCCATCCGATGGGTCGTCGAGATCGTCGAAGACGTCCGGCCCTGGCGGGCCTTGCGGTTGCGATGGATCGCCAGGCGAGCGCGGTGGCTCACCACTTCCTTGCCCTATGGCGAGCGGGTTGGGCTTCATCTTGCTGAGTTCAGCCCTGGAGCAAGCCTCTGCGATCGGAGCGATTCTACCTTCATTCGTGCTTGGTTCGCCAATGTAGATTTCTTTGCTCGGGGCCTTGAAAACGTCAGGTTTGGCTTGAAGTGCGCGATGGATCTCGCGCCAGGTAGTGGCACGAGCTCCCGTGACCTACGGTGGCCCACCTGCAAGCAGGGCCTCGAATCCGTCGCGACGGCTTGGTTGTGAACGAAGACGTGGACAGGCCGCTCAGCCGCAGCCACCGCGGGGCAGGGCGAGGGCCCCGGCGCGTCGCGCGGACTGGGCCAAGCCGCACACCCGAGCTGAGTATTTAGCCAGTGGTCAGGCCCGTAGAAGCGGTTGAGCCCGGCGCACGCAGGCTCCGTCAGTGGCCGCGCATACCCACCTGGCCCCCGCGTCGTCATCGCTGAATTCCTCGAACAGATCGGCTTCGGAGCCCTTGGGAAGGGAAAGCGGAATGGGCTGTAGCAGCTCGTCCGCCCTGTGCCAAGGTGGCCTGAAGGTCCAGCATCTGCGGGTTTCCTTCGAGCGACCCGTATGGCCTTGCGCGAGGCGGGAGGTCTCTCCATTGCTGATCAGCGAACATGGTTTTCAAAGCGGTCCGCTCCCCCCCCCCTGCATGGGCATCTCCAGACCGCGCTTTCCTGCGTTTCCCCCTGGTTGCACCATCAGCACAGCGGCGATGGTTCGGCCGAGATGCCCGCGCGGACCTCCGATTGCTGAGCGTGGACACCGCCGCAAAGATAATCGCGGGGAAGGCCGGACCGCCAGGCAATGCATTTAGCTTTGCCCCTGGCTCTTTGCAACCAAGAGTGTCAAAATAATTAAGGCCTTGTTTGGCAACGGCGACCGCGCCCAGGTCGCGTCTCGCGGCAGGGGCGCGCCCGAAGAATTGAACTCCCCGACGCTCGGAGCACGTGAGTGAGCAAGCCGAGGAAGGTGGTGCAACCATGAAAAGCGGGCACCCCAATCGTCATTCAAAATGCCAGGGGATGGCCAACTCCACTCCAGTTGAGCGATGGTTTGCCGGACTTTGCCGACAGGGCCACCTCCTCGGAAGGTCTGCGCGCGCCCGCGCAGCTCTTCGGCCTGCCGACGACCGCGCGGAAGAGGGCCCGCTACGCGGCGGGGCCTATAAGGGGCGGCCATCTGCGGCCAAGGCGAAGAAAGGGGCGGCGCCAGGCCATGCAGCTGCAGGCTCAGGTTTCACATATCACCGCGGCGCTGCAGGCGCTAACAAGCAAGCTCGGCGCGATTGGAGCAGGGGTGCCATCGGGTCGGCCGCCAACACGAAAGCAGCCAATAACTACTTCCAAGGACACACCTACGTCGCAGCAATTGCGAGCACTGCCGCAGAAGGTTAAGGCCAAGAAGATCATGGTCACTGAGGCGGGCGCCCAGGCCAGACTCCGGCAGCTACTGGGCGGCCCCGCCACGCACAATTCATCTGCGCCCCAAGGCAAGCATGCCGGGGGCAAGGATAAGAGGTCAGTTTTATCACCGCATCCCCGGGGCGGGGCGACGGTGCTCAAGGCCTCGCACCTGAGCAACTCAGGAGCACGAGCCTTCAACATCATGGTTGACAAACATCACGGCGAAGCCAGAAGGGATCACGCTCGCCCTCTGCAGTTGCCCGACGCTCCAGGCCGGAGCACCTGCGGCAGAGATCACGATCGAAACATCGACGGGAACGAGACCAGCCACGCGCAAGCGCGTAGAATGGAAATCGTCACGACCACGTCGCTCAGGACTACTTACAGGAGCCAAGGATGACAAGGGGGTGCCGAACTCAGTTTTGCAGACCGCTGCAGTACGTGTCACTGAGGAAGAAACAGGTGTCTGTTGTTCCAACCGCCCTAGCTCTTGCTCGGTATTCCGACCCCCGTGGGCCTCTACGTTGGCCTCCCTCGTAGGACTCTGCCCCTCTCCCTGGGCCCCCGCGAAGCCGCTCGTGGCTTTGACTTGAACACGGGCTCTTTTTGTTCGTTTGTTCCACTTGCCCACGCATAGTTCACGGGCCTAAGAACACTGGCAGCAGCAGTTTCACCTGTTTAGGCTACAATTATGATGTGTGTGCCCTGCTGGAACCGATGATTACCAAAAAAAATCGAAGTAACTTAGAAGTAACTCGCTAATAGGTTTTGGTCTTTTTGTAGAAGTAACTGAAATAACAGTGCGAATGTATGTCGCATGTTCCAGGAATTTCTTGGCGATCCGTAGATGTAGGTATCGCGGAAGGCCTGCGGGGCCTAAGCGCCGCGCCGAATCATCAAGAACGTTCGCAATCCCCGCGTGAACAAATCGAGAGGAGGGAAGAGGATGGAGGAGAAACGCTGGAAGTTGGAGGGAAGAGGAAGAGAAGGGAGGTAAGGGGATGGAAGGTAAGGGAAGGGAGGGAAGAGGATGGAAGGGAGGGAAGAGCATGGAAGAGGAAGGGGAGGGAAGGGAGGGAAAAGGATGGAGGAGGAACGGCGGACCAAAATGGCGAGGGAGCGGGAGAGAGAGAGAGAGAGAGAGAGAGAATCGAAACAGCAGGAGAACAACAGAAGGTCAGCGCGGGAGGGCGATGCAAGCGAGGGCCGCGAACGGGCCCGAAGGAGAAGGACAGTGCGAGCGAGATGGTGGGAGTGATGATGGGGAACGGGCGGGGGGGAGGGGGGGCGGCAGCAAAGGGCGCTGGGCGGTGAAGAGGGGCGGGAGACACAGGAGGGGAAGGCGGTGGAGAGAACGTGGCGGGGACTGGGCCCCACGTCCCGCACCCTCCGAAGAAAAGCCCAGTGGACGCAGCAAGATGCCCAAACGATGCCCCAAGAAACCCGAAGATGACCCAAGAGGCTCAGACGGAGCCACTCACTAGGCCCCTAAACTACTGCCAGGTGGCCTGCGAGAAGTACCCCGAGAGACCCTTAGGCGCGAACCCTCAGAGGTCCCACGACCGCAAACACTTCGCGGCGGTAGCAGGCCTCGCGGAAGGCCCATGGACGTTATTCAAAGTAAAACTTGCATCTCCAAACTCGTTTTCAGTTCGGGGGTCGGCGAGATTGCGTTCACATCTTGATTAAACAAATGGGGGAGGAGGGAGGCCGAGGATGACCGATATCAGCGATTTTAATTGTTAGCCCCTCCGCCGCGCGAACTCCGCGCGGGCCAACCTCTCGCGCCCCAGAGGCGCCGCAGCTCGCGGCCGTGGAGGCGCTTCCCTCCACGGCGTTCCACGTGAACCTCCTTCCTGGATCCTCCTCCTCCTCCTGAGCCCTCCTGTACCCTCACTCCTCCTGATCATCCCCCTCCTCCCCTGTAGTGGCGAGCGGCCGCCGCGGCCGCCCTCGGCCCTCCAACGAGGGGCCGATCCATCACAACTTATCGTAGGCTGGCTTGAGCACCAGCGCATCTTTGACCCTCCGCTGCAGCTCCCTCGGGAGCAACGCGTTGTAGTTAGTCGCCACGGCCTTCTCGGCCTTGATCTCTGCCTGGATCTGGAGCCGCAGCTCCGCTGCGCCTGCGATCGTGCTGAAGTGGTGCATGAGCACCGCCTGGAACCGAACCTTCTCTGCGGCCTCCTGTTGCGAAGCCGCTGCTGCCACCGCGTCGCCGTTGGGTGCAACGCCAGCGAGCGTCGCGCAGTACGTGTACTTCTGCTTGGCCTGCCAACGACGGACGCCCCACGACGAACCAACTGTAAAGGATGGGCGACGAGGGGCAGTGACAGAAGTCGACGGGCGAAAAGGTTGGAGGAGAGGGCGGGAGGGGAAGCAGCC